TAATACAATGGATAATATATCGGCCCTTTCCAGAACACTCCTGCATGCCGAGTCCATTAGCGCCTGATCCAATCAGGTTTCAGTCATGTGTTTGTTGTCTATTCTAAACCAATAGAAATAGTATGGCAGTAACATCTATCTTTCTATCTATCTCATTATCCAATTAGAGATATGAATCCTTTTATCAGCGCTATCAGTAAATGGAAATATTTAATTCTACTGAAACTATATATTATGGGACACTGCTATTGTGAAGTATAAACAGACCCATTTCACAAAATTATTTATTCACCACGTGTTTAGTAAAATTAATTGCTTTGTAACACCATTAAATTTAAGCAAAAACTATAAAATCATAATGTGATCCCAAATAACGCTACACAAGGTATTTGTTTTATAGGGCGCAGTAATTATTAATTTTTCGACTTTTTTTAGTTCTTTTTCCTCAATTTTTATATCGTTAAATCCAGGTATATTCTACAAAAATTTTCAGAAATTTTCAGATATTTCACTGTAGTTTCAGTAGAAGTAAATATTTCCATAGGATGTTTAATCCAGGTAAATAAGGATTCATTTCTAATTGGATAATGAGATAGATAGAAAGATAGATGTTACTGCAATGCAATTTCTATTGGTTCAGAATAGACACGAAACACATGACTAAACCCTGATTGAATCAGGCGCTGATGGAATCGCATACAAGTGTGATTTGTTCTTTCTATATATAAATTTGGCTTGTCTGTCTGTTTGTAGTTCCCAGTTCTTCTGGGAACTGGGAAGAAATGGGAAGAACTGGGAACTGGGAACTGGGAATTGTTAATAACTGTGAACTTGAAATGAAAATGTATTCCCCTTCATGATTTTGTTAATCTTATTTTGTTCTAACTTGTTCTTTAAATCCTCTGGACTTATTTTCTTTCCTTACTTTTCAATAGCATTACTTAGATATTTCTTTAATTTAATCGGATACCAGTTGTAACAGAGGACTTTTTATTATTTTATTTTTTTCAAGTGACCATTTAAAGTGTTTCGTATTTAAAATGACGACATTAAATAAAAATAAATACTTGAAGGGACTGTAAAGGAAAAATGAAAGGGGGTATTGGCTGGCTGAAAGCTAATCACTTTAGCTCTCGATCGCGACCCATGAAAGTTATATCTGATGTTCCTATCTCGAGAAATTGATTTACAACTTTGTCAAATTTATACGAAAATTAATATATATATACAATTTTGTATAAAAGTAGAGGGTTTAAATAGATCAAATTCAGCAAATATGCAACCAATCTTAAAACTATGATATCCCAGAGGAAGCTAATTGTAACTTAGGTTTACTCCAATTCTAATTTTATATTTGTTATTTCTATTTTTGATAGATTTAATTCATAATATTATTTATACTTCCGTGTTACTTGACCAGAAGTTCCACCAATGGCAGTGCAGTAAAGTGGTCACATGATACAGGCGGAGACACGTGATCAGTATACTGCTCTGCCATTGGTGATAGTTCTGGTCACGTGATTTAAGTTTAAGATGGTGTACCTTTGTTCAAC